TCGCTCACTCATTCTCATTTCGTTTTGTACAAGTTTTCACTCAATTCAATGATGACTTTGTACAGTTGAATGTGCTTTTTTTGCCATTCATGCAGACGTCTAATGTACATGCATCCACACGTACGCATAAGCATGCGCTCTGCTAACTGCGCAGTAAGCAGCGGCTTGGGCTTGGGCTGCGCTAGGAATTTATTTGTTGAATAATTTCTTTTGTAGACATACGGCCACGGGTTAAAGACCAGCAACAAAGTGTTACAGTGTGTACTCTTTAAGTACTCTTGTTACAATGGATATTCAATATGTATGCATACTACAATATGGTAAATATGTGTGTACATTCCAAAGCACAAGTCTCTAGTACTTGAAATGCGTTTTTTACAAATTGGAGGAGAAGGGGGCGTGGTATTCAAAATCTGTAAATTACAAAATCTTTGATTAACTTTATATACAACGCAAATTTGAAGACTCAAGGTCTAAAAATGTTCAAATTAGGCTAAAAAAAACCAAATCAATTTTTCGATTATTCACGATAAAAAAGTTATCAGATGAATTATCGAAAAAATAAAGCAAACTCGTACTGCGTATGGTACACACGAGTATGCATGCCAAATTTCAACTCTCTAGCTCTTACAACTTCTGAGATCGACGCACGGACGGACAGACGGACAGGGCCAAATCAACTCAGCTCGTCGCCCTGATCAAGAATATATATACTTTGTGGGGTCTGCCACGCATCCTTCTGCCCGTTACATACTTTTTCACAAAACCATATTTCATATTTCAGTTTCTAATTTAAATTATATTAAATTATTATCTATTTCTCAATATTCGCTTTTTTAGCGCTATTTTAGGCTCATTTTTTAAACAGTTCTTAAAGTATTTGCGTGTCTGATTATTTACTTACTTATGGGACTTCTCATTTTTATCGGATAATATACTAAAATTATAAATGGAACTTTGTTTTGGTACTAAGCTCAAGCCAGCACCGTCTGGTACATTATAATGTTGCAATGTATTGAGCTTTTTCCATTCGCTTTCAGTTTTTGACGTCGCGTCTTCATCATATAGGATAACACGACCCGTTGCTCCTGTTCTCCATTCTAAAAAACAAACTGTTAATATAACGAAGCAAAGAATATGGAAATTTAAAATCTTACCTAAATCTAAATCGTCTTTACGCGGCCTCTGGCTAGATGGTATATTTCTATATATTGTCTCCAAGCATTTCTCTTTCACTTGCCCAATGGTATCGCAGTCGAGAACTTTAACCGATACGTTCTCAGTGTGTGAGGGCAACATATCTAAGTTATTGCAAAATATTGGCTGTTGTATAATGCTAGCATTCACAGTCATCGCCCGAAAGTCAATGGATTGACGTATAAGTTTCTCTTCGCTCAGAGAGTACCGAGCCTCGTGGGTGCACGCATCAACTGGACCCTTGTCCACTTGACCTTTAACAGCACGAAACAGCATATATAATGGTTCCCCAGCACATTCCTTTAAAAATTTATAGAGCAGGAATGTAAACCAAGCGCTCAGCATTTTCTCAGCTACACTTTCCGTACGTCTAAGCAATAGTTTTGGATGGCTTTTTCCTTCAATGCACTTCTCAATTAGATCGCTTAGTAAGGTCTTCAAAATATCGGTACAATATTCCAACTTCGATTGCAGGGTAACCATTATTAATGAGGCGACATTGACACGTTCACGCATTGAGAAATATCGATTCGATTCCAAGGTTCGTATAAACAGCAATAGAAATGTTTTGTTCATAATGAGTTGAGCGAATAGACGTAACCCCTTCTCCTTGCGCAATAATTCTGGCTTCTCCCATTGCAAGACGTTGTGATCTTCATGATTAGGAAATAAGATCTTCATAGCATATGAACGATAATCCAAAAAGGGTATGCCTCCCGATGTTAAATCACCAGTTAAGTCTGTCATTTCTGTTTGAAGCTCAGCAAATGCCTCTTTACATTCAGCGGCAACACGCAATTCCAGTATATCCATTTGCTCCTGCATATTTCGTAGGACACGATTCGATTCGGATGTCTTCTTTCGGTACGCCACAAGCAGAGCAACAAATATCAAAAGAAATATAACGCAACCGGCGATGACTACAAACACAACATTATCGCCCCAGTCCATAATGAGATTTGATGACTCGTAACTCAAGATGCCAATACGATACTCCAAGGACGAACCAATGCGTACGATGACCTCTGGGCCACTGGGACTGTTGCTAGCAGCAGAGGCCTCGGTCGGTGGCCGGCATGTCAATTGCTGCCGTGACAATGATGTGATATTGCAAAAACCATTGCCGATTTTCACCTCAACATCCGTTTCTTTGCAAGCTCGATCTAGATTACGGCCATTTATGGTTAGATATTCACTTTTGAAATATTTCACACGTTCTTCGAATGCAAAATATTCTGGATTCGGATATAACTCGAAATGATTATTGTGCTTCTTCGATAAATTCTGCACTTTGAGTACGTTGTCCATGAGAAAGCCGTATTCAAGCAATGTTGGATTATCCGGGTCTAATGTCTGACTATCTGCCTCGATGACTGGCGATGGGCATTTCATTTCAGTATCGGAGTGTACCCGACATTGGCTAGCATACATCTGGCCATTATACAAAACGTAAATACTTGGCGATTGAATACTGGTAAACTGCGTGCCAGTAACAACGATTCGAATACCGCCCGCTGGTATACCCTTTGGTATTTTAATCTGTGCACTCGGCCCCGAGCTAACGTGCTCAACTGTTGGATCTAGTACATATTTGAAATTGTAGTCATTGAACTCCCGCGGTCCGTTGTCAAATGACATTTTGAGGCGACCCTCAATAATGCCAGGCGACGGTGACGTCCGACATATGGCTTGCGATGAGTCTGTACTTATGATTTTGCATGGCAAATGATCATTTATATAAGCCTGTATGCGTGAGCCTGCATTAAGATGTTTGCCAATAATCCGTATCTGAGTGCCGCCGGATGTGGGACCGAAGCGCGGATAGAAATTCGATATCTTCGGATCCACAAATTCATAATCTTCCTTTGATTCGCCACGATAGTCCCCGATTTGAACTACAATTCGTCCATTTCGATACATCTGTTCCCCGGGACTATCAACAGTGCAGACAATCTGCTTTGTATCAATGTAGAACTGTTGAAATGGCATACAATTAATGCCTGCAATTCGTACTCCCGAGTAGATATCGTTATAGTTCTTGCCAAGATTTATGCCCTTGATCGTAATATTTGTGCCGCCTTCCCAGGGTCCCGTCTTTGGTTCAAATGAATGTATCTCTGGATTTGGACAAATCTCGCTGCGGTTCAACCAATCCGTTTTGCCCTCATTATTTTTGTTGCACTGTTCAACCACTTCGCATGTGTTTGTCGATGAGCACCAACCGCAGTTATATTTCTCAGCCAGAGCCAAGCATATGCCACAACTGTCAGCCATGTCGCGACACCGATATATCACAACTGAAATGAAACAAAATGAATGAAATTCAGGTGAAAATCAATTAAATATAGACTGTTAAACATGCTCGCTATTTCAAGACCACGACTTATTTTTATATAATTCTTGTATCATACGCCAAAAGGTCACAAAGGACAAGACTCGAATTACTTGCAAAACATTTAAGAAATCTAAAAGGATTTTCTTATTATTAAATTTTAATTACTTCACTAAGTTCAGTTTCTGACTTACCGTGAATATTATGAGGATTGTCAAGGGGTTTCGACCCACCCCAGATGACAGCAAAAGTGGCTGTCAAATTCGGTGAACGTGAAGTGTATTGGAATTCCATGTTATCGCAGTAGATGGTGTCGCCCAACAACTGGGCATTTAGGCTGGTGACGCGTCCTTCTATATTAAATTGGCAAACGAACCGTGTTTGTACAATAAATTGGCCAATAATGTGAACTTTCACTTTAATCGATTTACTAGTGCCAGCAGCAACAAGAACCTCACTGCCGTCCCCAGTGGCGTTGATGGTTGGACAAAAGCCAGGGCCTGAACGATAACTCGGACCAATTCGGCTAACACCCGTCACCAAAATATCGTTGCGACAGTTCTCAGCTGTGTCGTGCGTACAGCGGTGGGCCTCAACACACCAATCGCATGGGAACTCCGACGACACGCAGCGTGTGCACGACGAATGTGTGCTACAGTCAAAGAAGGTAAAGTCTGTGGAGACTAAATCTGGTCCATTCCGTGTGCGCACGGACAATTTCGCTGTGAAGTGATGTTTTCCCTGTTCGATTTGCGGCAGCATATCCGTGCGCGGAGTTGTGCAGTTAACCCCATTTCGCTTCTTCGTTGCATTTGTAAAGAGCGCTTTGTCCTCGGTGGTAAAGGCACATATTAGGTTCTCCTTCAGTTGCGGCAAATGGTCAATGATCAACTCTAAGGTGCGCGCGGTAGTTCGCTGCAGCTGATGCGGCACCACGCTGGTGATTGTCGTGCACTTGCCCGTTTTGTAGCTCACCCAGTACAGTGGGTCATTGGCATCGTCCTGGCAATTGGAGCGGGGACTGCACTTGTTCTCCAATGAGCACCACCCGCAATAGGGATCACGGGCGCCCAAGCACTCGCCGCAAGTCCTAAAGTCGGCACAGTCATAGACCTTCACCTTCGACACCTTACGGTCGGACATCGCGTACACATACAGATTTTGATTGTCGAACTGCATATCCTGCTTGATAGGTGACCCAACATCAACGGCCAAACTCGCATATTCGTTCGCAATAGTCGACGATTCAACCACAACTTTTTTAATATATCCATCGACGGTGCCAATAAATACAACTGTGTAGCCGCTCGTGCTTGTCGCCGCCACAGACGTTAGAAGCGTATTAAACATTGCAACTGGAACCGCTGTGATTGGCTGTTCCCCGCCTAACGGTGAATTCACATCCAATCCACAAAAATCTTCCCCGATCGTTTGTAGTTTCTGCAATTAAGTTTATGATTAATAGTTCAGTAATCATATCATACAATAAATACATATAATTAAATTCTCTTAGAATATCTAGTTTTTACCGCTGGAACACGCCCAAATTTTAAGTCTATGATTATACAACTCTTGTACATCTACTTATTTCTGGCATATTTATAAAGGATACCATACATACCGTTAGAACACAAGGCATGCTGGGAGATATGAAATCAAGTCCCCGCATGCCATTTCCGTTGAAGCAGAACTTGATATTCTGCATAAATTTGCGACGAATCGACTTCAATGAGTATATGCAGAGTGCTGAACTGTTGGTCGGTGTATTGCTTTCCCCCTTCGAGAAGACAGCGAAGAGGACGTCGTCCTGAATCGATATGCCTAGGCTTTGGGCTAGGTCTAGGCTTGGTTTTCCCAAGAATCCAGCTTGAACGAGATTGAACTTAATACCGCCCTGAGCCTCACTAATGCATTCAACCGGAATCTCAGTGTACGAATAGTAGTTCGAGTCCTCTTGACATATTCGCACCAATTTCGTGATATACTCCTTCGGCGACGAATGGTGACTGTGCTTCAGCTGAGTGGTGAGGAAATATGAAAAGCGCTCCGAGCTAAAGCCGTACACATAGTTGACCAAATAGTTTTCTCGGGCATACGAATTAATGAAGGTGCGCGTGCCGGTTGTCACCGCCGATGAGGCTATTTGAAACATCTTTGACTTTTCCAATGAGCGCGATGCTACGGCTGGTATCTCGCTGCGATATGGTGAGTTATTGGTGTAGGTAACGCCAACATACATAACATTTGTCACCGGATGCTGCGGCGGTCCGGGTGCAATAAATGCCACCGTCGATGAGTTGGCATCGTTGGCAACAACGGCGTCAGGCACTTCGTGCTCAATGATGCTAACATTTTGTAGATTGCGCACCGTACACGTACCCTGAAACAAGGACCCACAAGCAATCAACCGAGATGTCGCACGGTCTATGAGCAAGACCTTGTTGTAATTGTCGGTTGGCTTTCGAATAGCATTTAGCGGACAATCGAGTATTGTGCATTCCACAGAATCGTTCTGCGGACCCGTCTTCACCGTTTCGTGCAGCTCCAAATCTGGTGATAGCTGATACAGACGATTCACGCCCCCAACAAAGACGCGTCCCGTTATTGTGTCCACTAATAAATGATTTAGCGTCGTATCAAATCTAGCCACATGTGTGATTACACTACTGCTGCTGCTATTCAAGTATCCCACATTCATGTCAGTTTCCGTCAGGTTAATCTTAAGGGCCGACGCTCTTCTTTTTATCCTATCTTCTTGTTGAATCCATGAAGTCAATCCATTGCCTAATGATGACGAAGCTGACGCTGACGATATTTCAAAAATTGTTATTGATAGTACACAACAAATTAGAATATTCATTTCCACAAATCCCAGGCTAATCGCCAAAATGGCGATCAGATTCAATATATATGTTTATAAATACGAGTATTAATTCTCTTTAAATGCTATCCAGTTCGCGTTACGTCTGATTCGCTTTTTTAATTTCCTTCGTGGAATTATAGTATTGCTATGGCTCTTTTCTATCCATCGGCCCTGAGAATGCAATTCATCTATAGCTTCTGTTCCAGTTGTTTCTATCTCACTTCCACTTACAGGCCGCGAGCTGCCACATTATTCCTCTTTATCAGCAACTAAACAAGGAAAAAAAAAAAAAGTGTTGTATTAATAATTTTACATTGTCTATAATAAATATATATGCGGAAAACGTAATTATATAACATATATAAATATAAAAAGTTATATAAAACGTAATTAATCCATATACAAAATTAGTTTTTAATTTTCAGTTTCATGATTCAGCAAAACTTACAAAAATGTATTTTTCTTATTACAAAAAAATGTGTATTTATATATATGTCATTAATCAACACACAAGTCACTTCATTCATAAAAAAAGTACAATTTTATTTCTTAGTTTACTCTATTGTGTGTTCCATATAAAGTACCGACAGTAAGCAGTATAAAGAAGCCACCGCCCGCCGCTTTTTTATATATATTTTTTTATGTATGTATATGTATATTCATACATATGTATACACTTAAATTTGTAGATAAAAATAGTTAAATTTCTCCCCTGTTAATAATGTTCGAAAAATTATAATCTTTTAATAATATTATGAGTTTTGTAAATAATCGAAGGAATTCTTAATTTCTATACCTTTAAATTAGCAGAGTATTTACACCTGATGGATGTACAAGTACGTATATACATACAAGCACATATTCGGATCAAGTGTGTGAGTTATACGTTGCGTGTATGTGTGCTTGGTGTGTATGCGCACGGGTGTACATATGTGTTCATACATGCGCAGTTAGCATATGCAGTTAATTGCTTCATTTTTACATTTGCTAATACGTTAAAATATAGACTTACACTTTTAATATTGTTTTATGCTCAAGTTAAAATGGATTGAAGCAAAACTTTTGCATCTGTACGCACTGCACATATAAAACTGTAGCCTTACAAATTCATATTTCTGACAATTTCACAACTCTTTTTTAATAAGCTGGACACAAATGTCTATTTATTGAGAAATTGGGTGTGACTAATTTCGCGATTTCAATAAATAGTAATTATGAATTTTTTAATTAAAGATACAATCAGTACTGTCCTTTTAGGAAAAATTTTCGCTCTTTGTGGAACCCGTACGACACTTACACACACGCACATATTAAACAAACACACACCGACAGTTTACAATGCAACCATACCATTTTCTATATTTCAGGTACATTCAATTATCGATATAATATTTCTATCGATATGCGAAAAAAGTAGCCCCACATTTTCAAAATGTCGATTGTAGTTTTAAAATCATTCAGTGCTGAGCAGTGATGGAAAATCGTAATTCAACTCAGTGAAACGCCCCAATACATCGATATTTTGAGAAAAGCAGCATTGCGTGGATTTTTTCATCTCTATAGTGTGACCACTACTCAGTTCCCTTTTCTTTACAGCGTGCCGCGTGTAAAGTTTTCAACAATAAAATTTTTTTAAAAATGTCAGAGGAAGGAGATGGAAATAGGTCGGGAGCATCCCTCACTTACCCTATGCAATGTTCGGCACTGCGTAAGAATGGATATGTAATGCTTAAGGGACGCCCTTGCAAGATAGTGGACATGTCTACCTCCAAGACAGGAAAGCATGGCCACGCCAAAGTCCATCTTGTTGGTATCGATATATTCACACAGAAAAAGTATGAGGATATTTGTCCCTCCACCCACAATATGGATGTGCCGAACGTAAAACGCGAGGACTTTCAGCTCAATTACATTAGCGACGACGGATATCTAACTCTAATGAACGAAGCTGGCGTCTTGCGTGAGGACCTTAAAGTTCCCGACGGTCCGTTGGGTGTTACTTTGCGCAACGATCACGAAAGCGGCAAAGATCTTTTGTGCACTGTGCTAAGTGCCTGCAGCGAAGAATGCGTTATCGCCGTCAAAAATAATACTGCTTTGGATAAATAAAAACGGTTGGAAAAGGTCATCCATCGATCTGATACTGGAAAAGTGTAATGATATAATGAAGAAATATCAATTAAATGATTCCAAAATACAAGCTATTTGTTTATATATGTATATCGTGTACATGTAGTATTATTTGGCTTTCAGTCCGATTCTTTCTTAATTAGGTACTTTTTGCTGGATGCCGAAATGGCCTTTGCTTTCCCATTGCTAAACTTAAAGGTTCCACAAACACGTGGAGCGTTGCTAATGTTATTGGAGATGTTCTCATTTACTTAAAGGTAAGAATTATTACGGTTAGAGCGGGACGACACTATTTATCATAATGAGGATCTAAGAATATTTCGATTACAGTATTTCAGTGCTAGTCACCTACATACATAAATACAAATATGCATGTGCATGTGTACTTTTTGTGCATGCACATGTACAAATGTATATGCACATAATTTAAAAGAGAATTGATGTCAATTGTGATGCACGTCGTAGGACCTCTCATTTTCTTCAAGGCGAAGTTTTATTAACAATAATGTATCTTTATTAGAGTCAACGAAAAGAAAACGTATCCTTTATGTAAATAAGTAGTACATAATGCACGCAAATACGCACATGTTTAATAACATCGCAGCATTCGATCATCGCAATTTTTCTATATTCCTACACATACATATCTCATCTCATCATTTCGATTTTAATCGGTATTCATATATTCAGTATATATATAATATATGTATGTATATAATATGATATATATATATAAAGCTAGCTTGTAGCTACCCTGAATCCTATTTCCTAAAATTATTTTGTTGCCCAAAGGCAACACCCCTACTGTGCAAGGTGCAACTGTATGAAGCTGGTTGCTATATTGCTATATCGATATAATCCTTAGCACCACTACTTATCGATACACAAAAATGTAACCATGAATTATGTATTCGTTTTGCAACTACATGGTACTACTTCTATATATCTCCGTCAGTTGGTCGAAAAATGTTCGCGTTACGTGTTGCCGCTAAAGCTGATAAGAATTTGCTGCCAATATTGGGGCAATTGTGTAAGTATATATAATTACTAGAATAATGATCAATAAATCAAGGCAAAAATATTTTTGGTCGAATCAAAATGGGGCTTAAATTAAGTTTTTGATTAGGCAAAAAGTGGCTCGAATAAAATCGAACATAACCTTATCGTTGTAGAAGGAACTGATTGCATAATAATTAATATACATTTCTATAAGTATGTTTATGTAAGATGATATAAAATAAAACTAAATAAATGCAAATAAGTGCCAAGACTCTTTCAGAAGCTATATTTATTAGTTTTATGGGTCTTATGTATTAGTTAGTTTTAGTGTACATATATATTTACGTATAAATACGTGATTGTTAAAATTATTGTTTTATTATTAAAAATGTATGTTAAATCAAATTCAAGCTTTATATATCAAAGAACTCTTACTATTTTGTCGGCTTTCAAGCTCCTTATTAATTGGATCTAAAATGTAATTATTCTGACGTAACTTGTATATGTACATACATATAACTGCCTTTCTATTTCATATAAAGGAATATTATATATAAGAAGTTTGAATAAGCTCACTCTGTAAACAAGAGTAAATATAGAAGCAGAAAATCATATATCAAACCAAATTTTTTAATAACCTATTTTCCAGCTCGCGGTCATGCTGCCAAAGCTGCTGTTAAGGCTGCCGCTGGAGGAAATGGAAAAATTGTGGCCGTCATTGGTGCCGTCGTTGATGTGCAGTTCGACGACAATCTGCCACCAATTCTGAACGCTTTGGAAGTTGATAACCGTTCGCCACGCTTGGTATTGGAAGTGGCCCAGCACTTGGGCGAGAATACCGTGCGTACTATCGCTATGGACGGTACTGAGGGCTTAATTCGTGGGCAGAAGGTTCTTGATACTGGCTATCCAATTCGTATTCCAGTTGGAGCAGAGACGCTGGGCCGCATCATTAACGTCATTGGTGAGTGATCAATCAATACAATTAAAATAAAAAGGATCGCAGAAAGAAAACGTGTACAAAAAATGTATTTATTAAATAGGTGAACCCATTGATGAGCGCGGTCCGATCCCAACCGATAAGACCGCTGCTATTCACGCCGAAGCTCCTGAGTTTGTGGAGATGTCGGTCGAGCAGGAGATCCTAGTAACTGGAATTAAAGTTGTCGATCTTTTGGCCCCCTATGCCAAGGGTGGTAAAATCGGCCTATTCGGTGGCGCTGGAGTCGGAAAAACTGTCCTAATTATGGAGTTGATTAACAACGTAGCCAAGGCTCATGGTGGCTACTCTGTGTTTGCTGGCGTTGGAGAGCGCACACGTGAAGGCAATGATCTATACAATGAGATGATCGAGTCTGGCGTCATTTCGCTCAAGGACAAGACGTCGAAGGTGGCTCTTGTATATGGGCAAATGAATGAGCCCCCTGGCGCCCGTGCCCGTGTTGCTTTGACTGGTTTGACTGTTGCCGAATATTTCCGTGATCAGGAGGGACAGGATGTGTTGCTCTTTATCGACAACATTTTCCGCTTCACTCAGGCGGGCTCCGAGGTATCCGCCCTTTTGGGTCGCATTCCGTCGGCTGTCGGCTATCAGCCCACTTTGGCCACTGATATGGGTTCTATGCAGGAGCGTATTACCACAACAAAGAAGGGCTCCATCACTTCGGTGCAGGCCATTTATGTGCCAGCTGATGATTTGACCGATCCGGCTCCAGCCACAACTTTCGCTCATTTGGACGCCACCACCGTGTTGTCGCGTGCCATAGCTGAATTGGGCATTTACCCAGCTGTCGATCCATTGGATTCTACTTCACGTATCATGGATCCGAACATCATTGGCCAGGAGCACTACAATGTTGCTCGTGGTGTGCAGAAAATCTTGCAAGACTACAAATCTCTTCAGGATATCATTGCCATTTTGGGCATGGATGAATTGTCTGAGGAGGACAAATTGACGGTTGCGCGCGCACGCAAGATTCAGCGTTTCTTGTCACAGCCATTCCAAGTCGCTGAGGTCTTCACAGGACACGCCGGCAAACTAGTCCCATTGGAGCAAACCATCAAGGGCTTCTCTCAAATTTTGGCTGGCGAATACGATCATTTGCCAGAGGTTGCGTTTTATATGGTTGGTCCCATTGAGGAAGTTGTTGAGAAGGCCGATCGCCTCGCCAAGGAAGCCGCCTAAGCGCTGTGGACCCCATTAACTTAAACGGTTCTTGCTAATCAAATAATAATATTCAATTGAATTAAGCATTAAATATGTCAGAGACAGTTTAAACCAATAAAACGTAACTTAACAACACGACTCCCAACCATTTAATTGTATTTAATTGGCAAATATATATGTTAATCTTGTTGACCAGGACGACCAGCCAACTCCATCTGGTCATATCTGTATAGTCTGACTCTCCGTATGATCTCAAAGGTCCGAATGTCGACACTTTAATTAAATAAGCCACGCCTATTTCACAAGCCGACAAAAGCTTAAAAATAGCTATAAAAATTCACAACGAATATATTAATATATGAGAATAAGAGGAAGAAGTGACAGGCACATTTAAAATGACGCTGTGGCCAGGATCTGCTGTATTTTATTTTACTTTAGATGTGTCATCTGCCGTTCCCGTCGAATATGTGAATATACATTTTATTTTTAATCATTTTTATTAGGTATGTATTTTTAGTTAATAAAATCATAAATATACAATAATTTATATTGATTTTAGAGTTATTACCGATATTCCATTTAATTATGTATTTTATATAGTATTTTAAGGACATCAACTATAGCATTTGTTGTAATTCAAATAGGCAATTGTTCGTGATCGCTCAATGTTTCGGATTTTTTTTTTTCTCCTGTAGTGTTTTTTTTTTTTTTTTTTTTTTTTTTTGGGGGGGGGGGGGGGGGGGGGGGGTGAGGGTTTACAATTGGTAAACAATTTGATACAATTCTATCTTATAATGTGCTTTATCATTGTATATAAATTTTTCTTTGTTGTTTTTGGTTTTGTGATTTATTCTTAATATATGATCATTTTATGTATAATGTTTTGAATTTTATATTTCTTTGGATTTAGATAATTTAAGAAAACGTTTAAGTACTAGAAAATTATCGATAATAATCGTACTCCCGTTGCCTTGGATTAATTGAACATGCATACACGACATTTAACAGCATTAGCATTATCTATGTATATGGTTTCCGAATGTCCTTTCCGCTTATAGTTGAAATTTGTGTGCGTGGACGTCCGAATCTATCATCTGTGTGTGTCTCCGTATTCATGAATTCCATTCACATAAAACGTATGTGTGTTTGTATCAAAGTAAATGATTTAGTTTTGATGAAAGTCAAATTTTGTTGTCCATAACCTTGCATAGCCAGAAAATATTTTAACAGACTCTCAAACATACATATATACATACATACACACTAATATTTACTATGTAGATACATATATGTAKATGATATGATCTGTAATGTCCGTCAGTGTGCTCAAGCCATATATCCTCATCCATATAGTAATATATGTAGGTATTGATGGCTGATCGAACTTTTCTTTCTTAGAGGAACCTATTGAACTAACAAAATCAGAGAACAAAATAATTTGTATCATATAACGGAGAAGTCGGCTGGATTGTTTTATCAGTGCAATGTACGGTCCACCGTAGCTGCAGCTCTTTCCATACAGGTAACTTCATCTAACAATATTTGTGCACAATAAGTTAACTTATGAATCTGTTGGCTGACAAATTACAAACAAAGAAATGCACTACAAATTTTTAAAATTCGTGTGAATGTCTCCTTTCTCTCTTTTTATATTTATATTTTTATGTTGTATTAGCTGAGGCCGAAACTGGACTTTAATCCGTTTACCAAGGTTTTATCTTGCACTCACAAAAATTTACCAATGACTCCATTAACACAAATTAGGAAATTGTTCGTATCTTTAGGTTTCTGCCTTCAATAATGTTGATGTTATGCGCTATGAGTTGGCTTATCGATATATATTTGATTAAAATTAACCAAACTATCGAATATGACTGAAACATTTGCCAAGCCTAAGGATTTTG